CAAGGTAGATCCATGAATAATTTAAATGATCCCCCAAATTGGAATATCCGCCCTCATTCCAGGGCTGATGGAGGTGATGGAAGCAGGTGGAATTATGCCCTGTTAGTTCCAATGCTGGGATTGGCAGCTTTCCGTAAGTCATGGATTTCCTGACATTTTTGGTTTGGGGGCTTTAAGTGTGGATGCAACAAAGTAGAGGAACCTAAAGAACGTGGGTGGCTTCCCAGGTGCCGCTAGCAGAAAGCTAGAATGGACTCAGCCAGGCACTGCAGGATGGGCTGTAGCTGTGGACCCACAGTTGGCCCCAAAGAGCAACCCTTTCCCTTGGTCTCAGTGCCTCTCCTGCCAGAACTGCCGTTTCAGCACTGTGGCCGAGCTCTCCTGCATGAGGGGAGGCCAGGTGGGTTAGAAGGGTTAGCCTGCATTTAGAATGCTGGAGGAGTCCTGAAGAGACTTTGATTTTCCACTTGTTTTACAGGGTTGCCTTTGGTAACAGCTTTTGCTCATGACTTCCTTACCTTTCATTTTTGGGCTTCTGATATGATGCTTTCTCTTCCCGGGAAAGTGAACTGGCTTATAAGATATTTTTTCTCTTACCCTCTGTGTCTGTTTCTCTGACTTTCAAATAAGTAAATTAACTTTCTTTTCTTTTTTTAAAAAGATTTATTTTATTTTTATCACAAAGTCAGATATATAGAGAGGAGGAGAGCTAGAAAGAAAGTGGAGCTGCCGGGATTAGAACCGGCGACCATATGGGATCCTAGTGCATTCAAGGCGAGGCCCTTAGCCACTAGGGCACACCGCCAGGCCCAGTAAATTAACTTTTAAAAATTATTACTTTTTATTTGAAAGGCAAATTTAGAGAAAGCTATTTTCTATCTACTGGTTCACTGTGCAGATATCACATTTGGAGCCGGACAAGTCCAAAGCTGAGAACCTAGAGCTTCTTCCAGGTCTCCCACACGGGTGCAAGGACCCACGGGCTTCAGCCGTCCTCTACTACAAATAAATAAATAAGTTTTAGAAAAGGGAACTTAGCTGTACGGTTCTATACAGAATGTCGTGTTCCTGGTATCTCTGAGGTCTGAGGCCTTACTGACTTGACTAAGTGTGTGATTTTCTCCTCCCTTGTCCATGTCAGGTTGGATTTGGTCTAGGGAATCCAAAAAAGAAATCGAGAGAGAGAGAGAAGCATATCGTGAGCAGACAGCCACTTTCCAGCAGGATTTGGAGGCCAAGTACCATGCCACAATCTCAGAGAGTCGACGGGCCGTCGCTCGGCTATCCCTGGAACTTGAGAAGGAGCAAAACCGAACAGCTAGTTTTCGTGAGGCTCTGATCTCTCAGGGACGCAAGATGGTGGAGGAGAGGAAGCTTCTGGAGCAGGAGCGGGCTCAGCTTGTACAGGAGGCGAGGCAGCTGCAGCCCTTGAGGGGTGCCTACCTGCGCTGCCTGCAGGGGGAGGAGGACTGGCAGCAGAGAGCTCGGCGTCTGCTGCAAGAGTTTGAGGATGCACTCACAGAGCGCCAGAGCATCTACTGTAGTCGGTTGCTGCCTCGCGGCCAGCGCCTGGAGATGGAGAAGAGCCTGTTGGTGCGTGCCTCTGTTGACCCAGTGGCTGCTGACCTGGACATGGTGTCAGGGCTGACCGACATATTTAAGCATGATACACATTGTGGTGGCATCTGGAATACCAACAAACGCCAGAATGGCCGACTCATGTGGCTGTATCTCCAGTACTGGGAGCTGCTTGTTGAACTGAAGAAGTTCAGGAAGGTAGAAAAGGTCATCCTAGAGAAGTGAGCCCAGCATGCAGTGGTCACTCTGGTGATGTCCTGGCTGTGGTGGCCCCGGGTGTCCCCACGAGCCATGGCTAAGTGAAGCTCATGCAGCACAGGGTGTCTTGTTTGGCTTCCAACCTGAACAGCATCGCCTCCCAGTTATCTCAGGGGAAAAGTTGTTTTTCTAAAAGTAATGAGTGAAATGCAGTATTGATCTTTACTGTAAGTAGCTTTGTTTTGATTTTTCCCTAAATAAACTGTTTCTTGCTTGAGTGATTTTTCTGTGATCTGACATTTACGAACTATCAGTGATGATAGAAGGAAGTAGTTGTCAGTGATGAAGGAGGTTGTGTGATGTTGGGAGGATCTCATCCTGTGGAGGGAAGGAGCCCGGGGAAGCAGGTGTGAGCATGGATGTTGTCCTGTAACCAGGGGAGCAGATATGAATGTGGACATGGTCCTGTTTCCATGGGAGCAGGTATGAGCATGCATGTTGTCCTGTTTCCATGGGAGCAGATGTGAACGTGGACATGGTCATGTTTCCATGGGAGCAGGTATGAGCATGGATGTTGTCCTGTGACCGGGGGAGCAGATGTGAACGTGGACATGGTCATGTTTCCATGGGAGCAGGTATGAGCATGGATGTTGTCCTGTGACCGGGGTTCCAGAGCAGTGAGAACACCTCTTACTACTTAGGTGATTCTTCCTCTACACAGAGTCTCTTCCATGTGTTCATGTGCAAAAGTTATCTCAGTTGCTGCTTCAAGCCAGGAGATAGGCAGGCGTGCTGGTCCTTTCACACATAGCTGACATGACCTGACACCATAGAATTCTCTAATCCTATGTGAGTATTGTCACTGCCTTCTGTGTGGGGTCCCCAGGACCATTCCCATTGCCCCTGACCTGCTGTATGTCTCCTAGGATTTGGCCTACCTGGTGCCTGAGATTTGTTACCCTGGAGAGCACAGGGCTTAGCATCTGGAGGATCCTGGGAAGCCCCAGGTAGCAGCACCTCCCATACCCGGCTATGACTACACACGTGAAATGTCTGCCAGGGTACTGGTAAGTCTGCATCCAGCGTTTTAATTTGGGGCAGAGTACCTGGCACCCCCCCATGGCACATCCTCCCTGTGGCACACCCCAGTCCAGACTCCAGGGGAGAGACCAGGGTTGAGTGGGGGCCCAGAGTTTGCCCAGGAAGTTTTGGCACAGGGAGCCTCTCATTGGTGGTAATGAGATCCAAATGACCGCCTGGCAGCCACAGCCAGCCCTGTGGCCCTTGTCAACTCATGCAATCAAGATGTTCATCTCCCCTGTTAAAGTTTTGGTAAGGAAACATAATGCTTTTGCATGTTTCATACATGTGCTTTCATGTGCATGTGAGCATATGTGGGCTGGCACACTCAGGGTTGGCTTTCTTCGAGGAGCACACCTATGGTGAGATGTGATGACAGCAAACGCCTCACAGAACCTGGAGTCCAGGATTGCAACTACTGGTTCCATGCTAAGTCATGAAGAATCTGCTCAACCCTTTGCTTATCTCTCTGAGAAGGAGAAAGCTTTCTAGTCACAAAGACACAATGGCATGGCTAAGCAAGGAACAGACGTGACCCCGAGGGACTGCCCGGCCACCTCTGATTCTGAGTATCTGCATCAAGCAGCACAGTATGGTCCTGGCATGTGGGCCGGTGTTTGTGGAGCACCTGTGTGGGGCAGCAGCCAGACTCCTGCTTGATCACCTTAACAGCTGCAGTGTGAAGTGAGTGCCAAAGTGCCCGTGCAGTTACAGCATTTCTCTGCTAATTAGAACCCAGGCCATTGGGAACCAGGATTGACATCAGATCTTTTAGGAGGGCCTCAAAGCAGAATAAAGAGGAACCTGGAATGGCAGATGGGCAGCCACGGGGGTACCTGCACCCACATCTTTGTGCAGGGTTCAAGTCCAATCTCTGTACTGCCATCCAACTCCCTGCTAATGCTCCGGGAAAGCAGCAAAAGATGGCCCAACCACTTGGATTCCTGACGCCCATGTGGGAGGCCTGGATGGGCCCCTGGCCTCTGGTTTTGGCCTGGCCCAGCCTGGCTGTTAGAAACATTTGAGGAATGAACTTGGGGACAAAAGATGGAGTCTCTGATGCAGTGAAAATCAGGAGAGTATTTTTTCCAAAAGGAAATGAGAAATGTCTATCTCTCTTCCCATCCATTTGGACCATCTCTTCTCCCTCCTCCTTAGGCCTGTGCTGGGGAGTGGCCAGGTACAGCACAGTGGTGGTGGGAGAGTCCCAGGGTTGGGCCAGGCAGGTGCAATGAGAATCCAGGACTGGGACCTACATGGAACCCTCAGCCTGGGGGCTCCTGTGGTGCCAGGAAGTTGCAGCTGCACAGACCCTGTCCAGGGGATGGGGAGGGGGACCTGAGGCCTGGACTGGCCTGAGAACTGGGATTTTTGGTCCACCAGACTCCCTCTGAGCACAGCCAACCTTGCCCAGCTCCCCTTAGGCTTACCGTAGGTCCTGCACTCTGCAGTCAGATCTGGAAGGAGGAAGAACAGATGTGTGTGGGCAGGACTGGGTAAGCAGGGATGAAGGCCTCTTGTTGCCCCAGACTGCAGTCCATCCAGTGAGTGCCAGAGTGCATGTGCCCACGGGCAAGTCTAGTGAGATAGACAGCAGGGGAGGGACCTGGAGGACAGACCCAGGGCTGGTGTGTGCAGGTGCCAGCAGCTTTGCTGTAATTGGGAGTGGGGGGTGAACCAAACCACATGCCAGTTTCCAACCTGATAAAATGGTTTATTGCCTTGCCATGTCTGAGTCAGCCACACTTGGCACAGAGCAGATCTGGGAGCAGACCAGGTGCAAACGTCACTAAGCATCACATTAGCCCCCAGAGCAGTCCTCAGAGGGAGCCTGGTCAGCACACAGCCCGAGTGGTCCTGGATACAGGCGGCTTTGGTGCCTGCGGTCCAGATAACTTTTATGTAGAGCCCAGGAGTAGGAACTGCAGCACACGGGAGAAGCTGAAGGGCACAGGGCGCTCCAGGCACGGGGCCACCCCTGTTGTCTCTTGCTGACTGTTCGTGGATGTGCTCAACTCAGCCCTCTTCTGACATATTCTGTCCCCTCCTAGCTGTGAGGCTCCATAGGCACCCAGCTCCCCCTGCCACATGGGCCTCACCTGCTCTGGAAGGAACTGCTCCCTGTCCCCTGGGCAATCTGTGGGCTATTCTATCTGTCTGAGGATGCGGGAGAAGTTGTCCAGGGCAGCTCTAAATGCTTGCAGCAGGAAGGCCCCAAGCTCCTCACTGGTCTCCTGCACGTCAGGGTCGAAGCTCCCATGCAGGGGCGTGCAGGCCTGAATGTCGTCTCGCTGGGCTCGTAGCAGCACTGCCTGCAGCTCCTCAGAGATTGCTGCATACTTCTGCTGGTCAAACCTGGACAGGGCTGGCTCATCCTGCGGGTAGGCAATGTCCTCGGGATAGCAGTCCCTGGGCACAGGGAACTCTATGCGCCGCAGGCGGGGGAGCTCACATAAGGCAGCAAAGAGGCGCCTGAGGGCTCGGGCTGACAGTGGGTTCCCCAGGAACCGGAACTCCTGCAGACAGCTGCAGGGGCTCAGGCCCAGAATCATCATGCCCACATTGCTGTCAGCAATGCCGCACTCCTCCAGTGTCAGCACCCTGAGCGTTGCAGCCGCCTGGCGAAGCAGCTTGAAAAAGGTTGAGGGGAACAGGTGGACCAGGTTATGTCCGCTGAGGTCCAGCACCTCCAGGTGGGTGGCATGAATGCAGTCTGCCAGAAAGGCCATGTCTGTGTGGCTCAGGGCGCAGTGGGCCAGGTCCAGTGTGCGCAGCGGGGTTCTGAGGGAGCTGCAGGGAGAACAGCACAGGTAAAGAGGAGGCCTAGAGGGCTGGGGCCTTGGAGGTCAAAATCCACCAAGTCCAGTCAGAAATTGTGCTCCAGCAGCCTATGTCCTCAGTGGCAAAAGTCAGAAGAGCAGCAAGTGTTGCATGTGAAGAGTGTGCAGGTAGCACACACAAAGCACATACAGAAGTTACAGGTGAAGTACACATAAGTGTGACACGTGCAGCACGTGTGTCACCCATAAAGTGAATGCAGGTGTGATACATGACATGCATGCATCTCATACTTTAAACATTTTAAACCTGTGAGTGGTCATTTAAAACACATTTTAAACACATGAAGCAAAGCACATGTAGGTGTCACACGTGAACCATGCACAGCTTAGTTTCAGCATCCCTCAACAGCTGAGCAGGGACATGCACAGCCCTGCTCATTCCCATGTATGGTCTGTACCATGCGGCGCTGGGCACGCCAAGTGTAATCACTCCAGGTGGTAAAGTCCTTTCATCTCCTTTCACATCAAGCACACAACTGCTCAGAACACTCAACATGAGTATCCAGCAGACCCTGGGGCAACAAGAACTCAAGAGGAAGCCCAGCCCTGATCACCTCCCATCCCCATCCGTGATCTGGTTAGCCCGGAGAGCCTGACGCCCTGGAACCTGAGGGGCAGCCTCAGCCCATGTGTCTTCACTGGGCCAGGAGGGTGTAACCCGCTTCCTGCTTGGTTTTATTCCCCGCTCCCCCAAGACTCTGACTCACCTGAGCAGTGTGGGGACCTTGCCAGTCAGCGTGGAGAAGGCCACATTCAGCTCTGTGAGGTGGGCCATGCGGCCCAGCTCCCCAGCAATGGAGGTGAGGAGGGAGTCTTGGCTGTCAGGAGTTGGGGAGCAGGCCTGGGGCATATCAAAGGCCCTGGTGGGCAGAGTGAGCGAGGCCAGCTGCGGAAAGCCCACCTGGGCCAGCAGCTGCTGCACGTGGCCAGCGTGCAGCCGCACGTTGTGCACCACCTCAAGCTTGCGCAGTGACTCCGGCCCCGCCAGGTGCAGCACATGCAGAAGTTGCTCAGGACTCAGGCTGTCAGCGCGGACCGAGGGGCAGCGCAGCTGTAAGGGTGTGGGGCCGGTGGGCTGCAGGGCCTGCACCACCACCTCGAAGTTGCCATCGGTGACAAAGAGGTCGGTGAGCACCTGCACGGGGTGCCCTGCCGCACAGGGAGCCTCCTGCAGCTCGCAGCAGGTCCTGGCCAGCAGCTGGGTGCGTCCCCACCGGCCCAGGGCCCTCCCACACGGGCAGCGCTGCTCCTGCACGTCCTGTAGGCCCGTGAGATCGGCCACTCGCAGTCGCCGCTGGCCACTCCGCCGCACATGGCGCACCAGGCCCTGCACGCAGGCCTCCAGGCAGGCCCTGCATGCGCGGTCCCGTAGGTCCTCTGAGTGCTCGGTGCTGGGTCCCAGCAGTGCCCGCAGGCGGAACTCCTCCAGGGGCCACTGTCCCAGCACAGCACACACCACCTCTGGCTGCTCTAGCAGGTAGCTGGCCCTGAACAGCAGTGGGTAGAGATCGTGGGCCACACTGCCCAGGCCCTCCCGGGCCAGCTGTGGGTGGGACACAAGTGCCTCAGCCGACATGCAACGCAGCGACCTCATGTTGCCTGTCCCTCCGCTCTCGCCTGGCCTGTCATGCTTATTTTTAGCTACTGCAGAGAGGGGCTTCTGCCAACTTTGCCCTAGGTCTTGTGACTGCTATTTTGATCAGGGTGCCTGCTTGGCTGTGACCCCAGAAGCATATGCTGGACCTCGTGGCCCCCACGGGGGGAGGCAGAGCAGCTTGACATGGAGCCTGCACAAAACCTGCGAGTGTGATTTCACTTCCTCAAGGTAAGGGCAAGGATGCCAGGTTGGTAGATGTCCAGCCTGCCCTCTCTGGAGTCCCCTCTGTGTGGCCTGGCTTGTCACTCGACACAGGTGCATACATGCCACCCTCCGTCCTGACCTTGGGCTCCTGTTGGACCTGGTGCTACACATTCCCAGACCAGTGTGTGAAGCTGCATGTTGTGCCCCTGCAGCCAACAGGTGATGTGGTCACCATTGTGCCAGGGAGTGTGGGTGCTCAACCTCTGAGCAGATCTAGCACCTGCTTGGTAGTGACTGAGCGTGGCAGTTACACAGGAAGATGGGAGCTGAGCAGGAATGATAGATACCAGAGGCTCGGTCAGTTTCCCAGGTGCCCACGTTAGCAACTGTACCCTTGGTGCTTCATGGTTATGAGGAAGACACAAGCAAGTACACAAGCTGTGCCTGGTCTGTGGGGTCAGGGGCTCCTCAGGGTTTCAGGTGGGATGGTAGATGGCCACAGGGCAGCACCAGGGGCTATTCAGGGGCCAGATGAACTCCTATAAATCCCTCAGTGACTGGGACACTGGTGGTCTAGCAAAGTTCAAGGCAGCAAAGTAAAATATTAACACTGTCAAGTCATTGAGTAGTGTTAGCAGTTGTTTCAGAGCCTGTATCAGCAGTATTACCTGTTGAGTCTACACCAGTAGTTCCAAGGTGGTCACAGGTATCAAGTGGTGTCCTCTGAGAAGCTGAGCTTGTAGGTTGTTGGGGACTTGGTCCCTTCCTCATGTGGAGACATCTCACATGACTGTATGGCCCTGAGCTCCCAACCAGCAGTTCTCCCTGGGCTAGGCTGGAGGAGTAGCCATGGGGGCATGTCAGGGACCCTCCCAGCACGGGAATTTTGCTGTGAGGAGCCAGTTTCCCCAGGATTAAGGCAGCTGTTTGTCTTGTTGAAAACCACATTCTTTCAACTCCTTCATGCACCCTGATGCAATCACTGTCCTGTTATAGGTCCATTCTCTAGGCATAAAAACTACCCAGTTGACCCACACTGTCCTGTTTGGTCAGGACCAGACTTCCTGGGGCATCACAACCCTTCAGTGCAGAAGTGCTTTGCCTGCTGCAGCCTGGCCTCAATATGTTTTTTTTATTTAAAGATTTATTTTGGGCCCTAATCCCTTCTTTGACATATACAAGAAAAAAAATATGTAAACAATGGTTTCACCCACCATCCCCTGATCCTCGACCCTCCCCACCCTGATCAACTATGTAAACATTATCAAAAATTAAATTAAAAAGAAAAAAAAGTGTGTTGGTGTATTTGCACATGTGTTGCTTAAGTTGCTTGATGCCAGTGATGTTTTCAGTTAGTGTTGTTTGATGCACAAAAGATACTACACTGCATATGTGACCTAGGTTACATTTTTTCTCTATTTTTAAAAAAACGTTTAATTAATTAATTTATTTTTGTAACAAAGGCAGCTATATATATAGAGAGAAGGAGAGACAGAGAAAAATACCTTTTGTCTGATGATTCACTCCCCAAGTGACCAAAACCGCCGGTGTTCGCTGATCCAAAGCCAGGAGCCAGGAACTTCCTCCAGGTCTAACATGCAGGTACAGGGGCCCAAGGCTTTGGGCTGTCCTCAACTGCTTTCCCAGGCCACAAGCAGGGAGCTGGATGAGAAGTGGGGCTGCTGAAATTTGAACCATCCCATGTGGTTTGCACATACCACACAAATAATGTTTCATCAGCACTGCGGCCTTGGGGACTCAAGCACAACCCTGAGTTTCCTCTACTTCACAGGGAAGCTGGAAAGGAGCACTCAGCGCGCTGAGAAAGTATTGCACTGAGTCAAGGAAGCCACTAGAGGGAGTGAGAAACCGGCTTTTCTGACCAATGTCACACTGATGGTGGAACTGAGCACATGTCCTCAGGGATAGGGAATCTAGAGCAGGGCACTTAACCCACTTCTCCAGGGCGTGCTGACAGCGACCTGGGCGCTACACCCATCCTCAGCCAGATGCCACTGCCCTCTCGTTCACCAGGGAATGCTTCACCCTCCACCAGGGCCATCCTGGACTCAAGACTCTCTCTCCTGCAGGCCAGCTATGGACCATTGGCCATCGCCGATGTGCCATCTGCAACAAGACATCCCAAGAGCGGATGTCTGTTCCCCACAGAGGTCCTTCTCACCAGGACAGGTAGAGTAGCAACATGCCTGGATTCCTCATCTGTACTGGCTGCTCTCACAGCACACAACGGCATAAGTTGTGCAAACCAGGGGGAGAGGCAACCTGCATGGTGAAGGAGCTGGTAAAGAAACCAGCATGGGTGGAATGATATCCCAGTGGAATGGGTGTCTCAGCCTCCCAGGCAGATGACCTGTATTGGTGCTATTTTAAAGCCGGGCTGTTTCCCCTGCAGTCCAGCTCCCTGCTGGTACTCCTGGGAGAGCAGCAGAGGATGGTGCAGGGGCTTGTGACCCTGTGGCCCTGTGGCCCTGTGCTCCTGTGCTCCTGTGGGAGATCTGGAGGAAGCTCCTGATTCCCAGGCTTGTCCTGGCCCAGCCACTGCTGGCTCTGGTGGTGGTCCCTGGGGAAGTGAGCCAGCAGATGCAAGAAAGATTGCTGCTTTTCCCTCTCTGTTCCTCTGTGTTTCAAAGCAAATAAGATCAAAGCAAATAGGACAGAGGGAGGCAGGTAGGCAGGCAGGAAGGAGGAGACAGAAAGCTGCTGGGCTCCTGGGAGGGAGTGTGCTGTGTGCTGTGCTGTGCTGTGCTGTGGCTCTAGACTGCTTTTTCCATGCGAATGCAGACCCTGAGGGCGTGCGTAAGGCTTCTGTCATGGGACTCCTGTGCAACCTCTGTAAAGAGGGTGCTTGAGAGAGAATGCCTCTCTGGGCTGGGCTGCTTCCCTTGATTTGGCAGGAGAGGCCTGGAGGAGCGTCCTGCAGTGAGTGCTGGTGGCCACGAGAGAGCGTGTGAAGCTGCCTTTTCTGCCTCTATTCCTCTAGGGCATTCTGAACACTAGACAGAGGAACCTGAGCCATCTTAGGGTCAAGTGGGGAACACAGATGGTGTTTCTGGACACGTGTCATTGGAAGATCAGGGGTCCAAGGCCGAACGGCTTGCATGCCAAAGCTTGGAAGGGAATGGAAGACCCTTGGGCCTTGCACCAGCCAGGCCCTCTGTGATAGAAAGTGGCAGGGTGCATTCACCAGCAAGGCACTCTTGGGAGGTGGAGTCACACGGCAGGGTGCCCACAGGCGCTCTGGGAACTGGAGTCCCACTCAGTGTCCCCACAGGCACTCTGGGAGCTGGAATCCCATGTCAGGGTTCTCAAAGCCCTGTAGGAGCTGGAGTTACCCATCAGCTAACAAGCATTGAATTCAGGGAGTTTAGGTCCCAGGAAACCTTACCACCACTGCTACTCCTTGCAGAGCACCCTGAGATGCAGGCCCCAGACAATCTTTAGCAAGTGGAGTGCTCCCCGATGGGCTGCGGAGAGGGCTTTATGTATTTTTGCTTGTGTGTGGTGGTGGTTAGGGTTACGGTGATACACCACTCAGCCTTCCTCTGCCTAGCTGGGTGGTGGCTCGGCATGTGCGCTCATAAGCCAGGCGCAGGTGGGTGGGCAAGTAGGCACCAGAGGTCATCAGCCATCTAGAATAGGAAGTCCCAGGCCCTAACCTTTACTTGATCCGAGAGCACCCTGGAACATGTGGTCACGCTGCCCAGCCTGGCATGGGGTACTTTGGGACAGCAATTCCTAACCCAGGCCTTTTGTGAGGAATTTTGGCAAAGGATGTTCTACTAGGTAGCCATCTAATGGGCACTCTGGGACAAGAAGCACCATCCCCTTGTATCTCAAAGTGCATTCTGGGACGTGTATTCCCAGCACCTCTCTTCCCGTCGAGCACAGCCGAGCACAGCCGAGCACAGCCGAGCACAGCTGAGCAGGCATGCAGTGCTGTGTCCATGTTGCAGTGCAAGCAGATGGTCAGGCTTTTATTTTTATTGGAAAGGCGGATATACAGAGAGGAGGAGAGACAGAGAGGAAGATCTTCCATCTGATGATTCACTCCCCAGGCGGCCGCAACGGCTGGAGCTGAGCCAATCCGAAGCCAGGAGCCTCTTCCAGGTCTCCCACGCGGGTGCAGGGTCCCAAAGCATTGGGCCGTCCTCGACTGCCTTCCCAGGCACCAGGCAGGGAGCTGGAAGGGAAGCGGGGCTGCCGGGATTAGAACCGGCGCCCATATGGGATCCCGGGCGTGCAAGGCGAGGACCTTTAACCACTTGCGCCACCGCGCCGGGCCCAATAAGTCATATGTTTTAAAAGTTTATACACATAGGGCCCGGCACGATGGCCTAGAGGCCAAAGTCCTCACCTTGAACATGCCAGGATCCTATATGGGCGCTGGTTCTAATCCTGGCAGTCCCGCTTCTCATCCACCTCCCCGCTGGTGGCCTGGGAAAGCAATCGAGGACACCCTAAATCTTTGGGACCCTGCACCCACATGGGATATCCGGAAAAAGCTCCTGGCTCCTGGCTTTGGATTGGCTCAGCTCCAGCCATTGCGGCCGCTTGGGGAGTGAATCATTGGACGGAAGATCTTCATCTCTGTCTCTCCTCTTCTCTGTATATCTGACTTTCCAATAAAAATAAAATAAAATTGTATTCAAGTCTGACCTGGCCCACCTTGGAAACCTACGTGGTCGGTCTGCAGCACAAGAGTCATGTTTCCCCGCACGCAGGGGCGAGGCCAGATCGTGGGGGCCGGTGTTGACGACAGGTGCCTAATGTCT